GGGGGGGGGTCCATAAGATTGATTTAATCAATTATTTGAGGTTTCTGGGGCGCGTCCACCCCGTCACTTAACTTGCTAAAGCAGGAGCAACTCCAGCTAGCTAAGGCTAGCTTTCGTGAATAGAAATGCTGCATAGCCAGCGGAAAAGGGCGGACACATCTTAAGAAAGAATTGACAACCCCTAACAGTAAACTGTTTGGGGAACGAATAGAAATGTTGCATGGCCACATGGCCAACGGAAAAGGGTGGACACCAGCAGTGACAGACCTGGGAGACAAATGAATAGAAATGCTACATGGCCAACGGAAAAGGGCGGACACCAGCGGTGACAGACCTGGATTCCTGAACTGCTAGATAAATTTTGAAAGCTATAGACTGCCCAACGATTGTCTTGGTGATTCGCTAATGAGTGCTGGGTTGGCGCCTCAGCCTCTGGCGCCGCTGGCTGCGGCATGAAGAAGGAGAGGACGAAATGCCATGCCTCCCAAGAAGACCAAGCTGGCAAAGGATAAATCAGAATTGCCCTTACCCATCTTTCACTCTATATCTCAGCCTCATAGAAACAGCGATGCAGCAAATCAATTAACCGCAACGCCATCCGAGATGCTACAAACGAACCAAGCACTGCAGTAATTTGAGCCACAACTCCGCAAACCGAACTCTTCTTCGCAGCTGAATATGATGGTTTTAAATCAGTTCTTGCGCGAATCTGTTGAACAGTTGTATCAGAATCCCTTTTTTGGCGCTAGCATCTGGGACATCACCCAGTCCGACTCCGGCATCCCAATGATCCGTCACTGCAGTGCGTTGTCCTCCCTGTCGTACGCAAAGGCTTCACTCAAACAAGTCGAAGCCAACCAAGACTAAGACGAAAGGCCTTGGAATTGTTCTAGCGGTCTTAGCAGCTCATCATCGCCATTATCATTTGCAGGTTGGTCAGTGAATTTCACATTCGCATCATCCAACTGAGAAATCAAGGAAGCGACCTGGACGCCCAAATCATCAGCAGAAGTCTGCAAGCGTCTAAGGCGGTACAAATAGGGATACTTTCGGGCAGCATCAGAAGGGAGAATACATCTCAGAGCTTCAATGGCTTCTCTGCGAACTTCTGGGTGAACGGGATAGTTCACTGCAACCCGATTTTTGGCCACCAGCACCAGATTGTAAACAACCGCATCTTCCGAGCCCTTTGTCAGAAACAAGTTCTTGCAGTGCTTTGCACGAGTACAAATGGTCCGCGCCATCACCAGTCTTCAGGAACTGCAGGATGTCCTTTACGTAGAGGTGGCGCATCGATTTAGAAGGAGACCTGAAAGCATACAGCGCAACCCCTTGGAGGAGAAAACGCACGTGAAAAGGTTGTCCTTCGCGGGAGCTGAAATCCCTCACAGCAGTGCAAGCCCGCAGCACTGATTGCACATCAGCTTTCCAACTATAGGGGAGCCCGCTGCAAAGGACTTTCAAGCCTGGCACCAAAAACCGGAAGTTCCAAAAGCCCAAATTGAGGCTGTTGTGTGAAATACCGTCATGCACATCATATCTGTCGAAGCCGTTTCATGACAGTCCAGTGTGCTTGTGTGTAAACAGGACACTTCGCCGTGTTGATGCTAGATTCCCCTCACCTGCACTGATGAGTCCGCCGGCACCTAGTACTTGGTATTTTATGAAAGTTTCACACCAAAGCAGCCGGAGAGTTGGGGTCAATCCGCCCGCACCGAAGGTGCTGAGGCGTTTTATAGGGCATGCTTGCAATCCGTTAGTATCGTCAGTATCGTCAGTATACAATAGCTTTAGCTAGGGCGGGGGGGTCATTTTTTGCTCTAGAATCCTGTGTTTTTCACGTTTTTGGAACCGGCTTAAAGTGCTTTCGCGCTAATGTTGGGTATCTTGAAGGCTTTAGGGATGCAAGAAATGCAAGTTTCTGCTTTCCATCATCTGCATCATCTGGACATTTGGCTGAACAGGTTCCCCTAACGGGGCTCAACATAGCTTCCATATTGCGTAACCACTATCTAACGGACGTGTCTGCGAGATAGGGACTTGAACGTCCGGG